GCCATCAATGGCGGACTCGCTGCCCAGCATCAACTTTGGGTTCGAGGACCTGCGCAATCGCATGGCCCAATTTACAATCAAATTCGATGCATTTATTGAAAGAGGCCGAAAGCAAGTCCTGGAAGAACGGAATCAGTTCCATATCAACCTGGCTGAACTTGAAGGTATGATAAGCCGTTTCATCCTTCTTATTTCCCACGACTAACCAGGGCTGTAGAGGACGAGCGGATGCGACAACGCGACATTGAAATCCTCACGTTGAAATCTCAAACCCATGAACAGACTCTCCAGAAAGAAGCGGCCGAGGCTGCTGAAATGCATGCCGCCATCTCCTCTATTACCCTGGAACGTGATTCCCGCCTCACCAAGCGCGACCGTCTGAAGCAGCAGATCGCAGAGACTCAGAAGGCTATTAACGTAAAGCTCGAAGCGCAAAAGGCACATGCACAACAGTTGGATGCTCAATCTAGTCTGAATTTCCCGGAGCTGGAGTTCTGGCAGGACTATCTGTGTATACGGATTGAAGGTGCGGGTCGGGAAGATCGACTCAAGTTTGTTTACAGCCATTTGTTGGAGAAAGATTGGGAGGCGGAAGCTTGGTTTGAGTTGGGCACTGCCAGCCGGGATTACGAGGTGTTCCATACACGTCCCAAGGTTGACCGAAATGCTTTGGAGGGCGTGGTTGATCTTGTTAATGATGATCGAGACTTTGGGGCATTTTTGAAGCGAATGCGCAAGTTGTTTGTTGAGGCTATGAACTAAGGGCTAGGTTTGGAGCGTTTCGGTACTTGTTTCCAGTACGAATGTTATGAAATTTATGCATATTTCAGTAGTCATGCCTATGGTCCATTGATATCGTCAGCGCATTCTTACCGTATTAACATTTCTTTCAAACGTTTCAAGGTGCTTCTTTAGCCTGTGGCCTCTCGGTAAAATGCTATGCTTCGGTTCGCGCCAGCAGTCGCAAACCCTTCTGTCTTCCCGATCTTTGGGAGCCACTTGGCGCTCCACACGGCCTTCTCTGTCTCGGAGTGTGTAGCAACACAGTTCTTGGTCTCCATGGACCAGACTTTAACCTTGCCATCAAATGAGCTGTGCAACGTTAGCTTGTCAATCATGCCAGTGCAAAAAGAGCCACTCACCTGCTCAGAAGATATTCACCGGTGTTGCTCCAGGAAAGGGACAAGACCCAGCCAGAATGGCCGGACAGGTTGGCAATCTGTTCTCCCGAGGAGGTGTCGTAAAGCACAATCACCTTGGAGTCGCCAGCTGCTGCCAAAATCTTTCCTCCAGGCGAGAAGGCTACGCTTCGTACGGGTTTGACTAAGCCTAGAATCAGTCAGAAATGGGTGCTCTGAGTAGTTGAAGCGTATTCACGCACCTGATAGGGAGAACGGCATGCGCCCTGTTTCAGTAGTAAAGATATAGACTGCACCGTTTTCATGACCAGTAGCGATGAACCGGCCATTGGCAGACTGACAATAGGATTAGCTTGAAACATAGAGATAGTGCAGAATTTGGGACTTACCAAGTCAATACAATAGCCGAAGCTACCCTTAGTCTCGTGGTCTCGAATTTGAGTACCATCAGCAGCCAAATCGAATACATTGATGCGTCCATCCTTGGTGACACCAGCAAGGTACTGTCCATCTTCAGAAAGGGCTATGGCCCAAAGATCAACCGCCTTGAGATCGGCTATGTACTCATTAGCATATTGCGGGGGATCACAGCAAAATCAGGAACTCGATGTACCAATCACTTTTTGGTCGGCAGCCCAATAGCCATCCTGGCAAGACCAGGCCTTGATTTTACCATCGAATCCAGCACTTATCGCACGTGAGCCTCTAGCATCGGTCACGATGTGGTGGCACCCAGTCTCGTGGGCATCATCGATGGACTGCACCAGCGGGAACTCAGTGTCCGAAGTGGAGTGTACTTTGATAGAAGGAGAGCCCGACACCGACAAGACTTGCTTGTCTGTTACTGCCAGTGCGAAAATATCAACAGAGTGCGCTGGGGACAAGTTAGCCAAATTCAGATGGACGGGGTCGATATTGCCCACCATTGTCCGCCGCACCCCACGAGAGATATTGTTTCGACTATATCAGGGTAAGCAATGGGATCAAGCCTTCCTGCAGAAGACTCACCATTCTGGGAATGCCTGGCTCTCTTAAAGCTGGGTTGAGACTTAACGCGTATTTGTAGGAGCAAATGACGTTTGGGGTCTAGCGAAGCCCGTTTCCGCCTTTATCGGCTACAGCACAATCAACACTACATCTACAATTGTGGTCTCAATTGGGTTAAGAACACATTTACGACAGCTCCTATCTACATTGGAAATCTGACAGTGTTGTTATCCGATCTATTTGATCGAATTGTTGTAAAGTCATATCGAAAAAATTTCCCCGCAAAACCAGACGCCATTTGCCATGCAGCATATATCTACAACCAATTCTAGTAGTACAATCACCCCTTGGGCTTGCAATTGAGACCGCGAGGTCGCTCAAACCCAGCTCAAGTCTTTATAACCTGTCCGTAGCACCTCATGCGGTCTCCAGGACCTTCCACGACTCCTTGATGTCTGTTCACTAAGTCAGCTTTCTCTGCGATCACTAACATCCTAGGTGTTCCCTAGCAGTCGAACCAGATTTCTCACCTTTGACACAGTGTGGGCACAAAAGATGGGCACGCTTGATTTGACCACAGCCAGGGCATTTGACGAGGTTGGTCGTATCCTTAAGCGCCTTGCCGGCCATTTGGCGATGACGCTTCTTCATGTGGGAGGTCTTCTTCTTAGGAACGGCGCGCAAGACAGATTCCCACAGATCGGACAGAATTCCTGGGATGTTGAGGGAAATGGAGACGGGTTGTAGGAGAGCGCTGGTCGCGATGGGTTGAAGGAACCGAGTGAATCCGGAAACAGGGACGGACTCTGAGAGAAGGGAGCGTGACATATTGGCCACCGGGGCAAATGGGAGCAGGCGCAAAGCCATGGCGACAGGTGAAAAGCGAAAGAGAAGAAAGCGGCAGGTATACTTCGTACTAGTCGAGCTATCACAGTGAAGCAAAAGAGATCGTAGTTTTCTCCAGAGCCACGCTAGGCCCAATTAGGTATAGTCCACCCCTGAGTGGAAAGTACAGAATAAGGGGTGATACTTGCTCGTCACTCTTTGGCATCTCTGGGGGCTTCTTTTGTTTCTGTCTTTCGTTCTTCACTTATTCACTACTCATAATGGCCGCCGCTACTACCGCAGCTTCGGCTCAGCAGCCCACTGTTTTCCCTCATAGCCATGTCGGTTTCGACAGCATCACTTCCCAAATCGAACGGAAGCTGTTGAAGCGCGGCTTCCAGTTCAATGTCATGTGTGTTGGTACGTGATGCTCATCTGCGAGTCACCAAGGCCTCAGCTAATCGAAAATCGCGCGTTAGGCCAAACTGGTCTCGGAAAATCGACTCTTGTCAACACTATCTTCGCGTCCCACCTGATCGACTCCAAGGGCCGTCTGACCCCCTCTGAGCCCGTTCGCTCTACTACCGAAATTCAGACCGTGTCGCACAGTATGTCTTGGATCTTGAGAACCTGTTTTGGGAGGAAAATCGCTAAAGGGGTGTCTAGTCATCGAGGAGAACGGTGTTCGTCTCCGCTTGAACATTGTCGACACACCTGGCTACGGTGACCAGGTCAACAACGACCGATGGTATCTTGAGCTCTCGCGCAAATATTTCAGGACTACGCTAATTGTGCCGCAGCTGGGACCCTATCGTCAAGTACATCAAGGATCAGCACTCGGCATACCTCCGCAAGGAACTCACTGCTCAGCGTGAGCGTTACATCCAAGATACCCGTATCCACTGTTGCTTGTTCTTCATTCAGCCCTCTGGTCATGCGTGAGCTTATCCCGCAACTTTCCTCGTTATTTGCTAGTCGATTGGACTAATTCGTGACTTCTATATAGCCTCAAGCCCATCGATATTGTTGTTCTCAAGAAACTGTCTGATGTCGTCAACGTCGTTCCCGTTATCGCGAAGTCCGACTCCCTCACCCTGGAGGAGCGCCAGGCTTTCAAGGAGCGTATCAAGGAGGAGTTCTCCTTCCACAACCTGAAGATGTACCCTTATGATAATGACGAGCTCGATGATGAGGAGCGGGCTATTAACGCCCAGATCAAGGTATGCTTGACAGTGGTGGATTAATTTTCATCTGATATTGACTCCGGACTCCAGGACATCATTCCTTTCTCGGTTGTCGGTAGTGAGAAGACTATTGTTGTCAACGGCAAGCAGGTTCGCGGCCGCCAGAACCGCTGGGGTGTCATCAACGTCGAGGACGAAAACCACTGTGAATTTGTCTACCTGCGCAACTTCCTGACCCGCACCCACCTTCAGGATCTGGTCGAGACTACCAGCCAGATCCACTACGAGACCTTCCGTGCCAAGCAGTTGCTGGCCCTGAAGGAGAGCAGTGCTGGCGGTGGAGGTGGCCACACTGGTGGCAGCCGGCCCATCAGCCCTTCGGCTGACCGTGAGCTTAGCCGCAATTCGCAGCGTGCCGCTATGAACGGATACTAAACTTGAGAGTTAATATCTGACGCCAGCACTCTGACCGTTGCGCCACGGAAAGCAGACCCCACGGGCAAGGCTGTCCTTCCTCCGAAAACTTACTGTCCTCTTTGACGCCAGCAGGCCCTTGCAGATATCCCTTTTTCTTTTGCGTCTCCTATCGTTTTCGTCTCCATGTTTGTATCCAACATCCCATCTTGTCTCTTCTTGGGAGCCCTTTTCCTTTCCTTGTCTAGGATTTTGTATTTTCGGGGAAAAAAAGACTTGGCACTCTAGCGCTTGTGCCAACTCTGGTGCTTTCCATGTACTTAGTTTTCTTAATTAACCTCATGAGAAACTTTTAATTCTTGGATAGAATGGTGCCTCTTTCGCTATAAGCAGGAGAAAATGGCAATGCAAATATAGACCAAATATCAAGCAGCAATGAGCGAGCTCTTTCTCATTGCGATGCTCCAAAACGACCACCGTCGACAACCCAATCGCGCAGCTCCGAATATGCCTTCTCCAGATCATCATTGACAACGATCTTGTCATGAGCACCCTCCTGCTTGGAGTACTCAAGCTCGTTGTGCGCCTGCGCCAAACGCTTCTGCAGGCTATCCTCGGTCTCCGTACCCCGACCCCGCAAGCGCCTCTCCAGCTCCTCCAACGAAGGCGGCGCCAGGAACAAGAATCGGGCATTGAGATCAGTCTTCTTCACCTGCTTGACACCCTATGTACAAGAATGATAAGTCATTAGCATATTCAAATCCAAGCGGAAGATATATAGTGCGTCGCGACTCCCTCTATTCGATACATACCTCCATCTCGATGTCGAGGATACAGATTCTCTCCTTTTCCGCAATGTTCTTCACAGCCTGCACACTTGTGCCGTAGTGGTTGCCGCCGAACTGGGCATGCTCAATGAATCCGTTTTGTGCGACGAGATCGAGAAACCCTTCCTTTGTGGTGAAGTTGTATTCGCGGCCGTCCTCTTCGCCGGCACGGGGTGAGCGAGTAGTGTCTATGGGAGTGGTCCGGTCAGTGTTCTTCTTCGCAATACCTTGTCGAGGGCCTTTCGCTTCCTTCGGCAGTAGGTTGGGTCGTGTGCCTGGGAGGTTCACATACGGGAGATAGAGAATCCGAAAGTGTCAGGGTACTCAGCGAAGAGTCTCTTTAGGAGAGTCGACTTTCCAGTTCCCGAGGGACCAGAGACCACGACTGGGCGGAACTTTTGGACTGGATCATTGGTGATGTTAGAAATTGGTCTGTTTCGCATCGCTCAAGTGGCGGGGTTCCATAGCCATGTCTATGGCCATGAAGCACAGGTCGCTTACCAGCACTGGGAACCATTGCGGATACAAAGCGTGCGGCAGGGTGGAACGGTCTAATTGACGCTAAAACGGCACGGAAAGATGAGGGAAAATGCATACGGAGGCAGAATGCGACATCGCTGAATTTCTAGATGCGGCTACGAAAACATCTGGCAGAACGAAGGCGGTGGGTGGATCTACAGATCAGGGCAAGTATCAAATATCAATATCCAAGTTCTATCGCTTGAGAGCTGTCCCATTTATACATACACATGGTCTAAGACTTAGGAGGCCCTGGGTGGCTTCCTCGTCTCGTTGTATTCATGTTACCCGCTTCTGCTTCTTGCTCCAGGAAGTTGGACCATAGTTCGGCCAGCGTCTCTTTGCTAGAGGCACCGTTATCCATGAAGTCTGTGGCCAGGTTTGGCGTGCTCGGGGTGCGCAGGGGTGTTCCTGGGACTCGAAGCTTCCCGGGCATACTCGATGTGCCTGGCCGGGCAAGGCCTGCTTGTTCACGTTGCTCTATAATCGAAAGTTAGATACGCTCGAGTAGCTCAAGTAGCTCAAGTAGCTCTCGTGTGCAATATGGGCTTACCGTCGTTCCAGCCCAATAGCGCTGCAAACAGCTGCAAGATTTGGAACTTCTTTGGATCAGATCGATCTAAAGCGAGGAAATGCAGTAGATGGTTGGTGACAATATGTCTGTTTATAGTCAGTCAAGCTGGTCAAGTCTCAATTGCGCTGTGAGCTAACCTGTCGACATTGTCTTCTGGTTTCCCCTTTTTGAGGAATCGTAAAGCTTTCGTCAGGTGGTCGTTCAGCGTGACTGCTTCATGTCTCAGTTTGCCAATGAGAAGGTTCTTCTCTTTGACTTCCTTCTCAAATGGCCGGACTCTCTCGATCTCTTCCTGGGCATTCTGTAGACCCTTGTCGGCATCTGCGGCCTGCTTCTGTGCTTCGCGCAAGGAGCGTCTTAGATTTTCAAGTTGGGCATCGGAGCTTTCGACAAGCTCCCGCAGCTCCTGCTTCCTTGCCGACTGGATTTCCTGTAGAGCCCGTTGTAGTCCGTCAACTGTCGACTGTTGGGTGTCGCGTTCATCGGTGGCTTTTTCATATGCATCTCTCAGGCTACTGAGCTGTTCCTCCAAGTCTCCGACCTTTTCGTTCAGGTTCTCTCGGATAGATCGCTCCTCCATAGCTAGCACTTCCCAGTTGTGCATTGCCTCCTTTGCTTGCTCAAACTCTGACTGCAGGTACGCCTCTTGCTCGAGGAGTTCTTCCTTCTCCTTTCGCCAGTTTTGCTGTGATAGGCTCGTTCGATCCCGAAGAGTTGAAAGCTCCTTGTCCTTCTCTGCTGAATCGCCCGAAAGTTCAGCGAGCTGTGCAGACTTGAATTCAAGCTGCTCCTTTAAGCTGCTGTTCTCATCTTCGAGATCCTCAATTTGCGATCGCGCTTGAGACAGTTCCTCCTGTATAGCATAAGTCGAGTGGCCTTGGAATTGAAGGTAGTTGAACGTACCGCATCCTCCTTGAGTCGCTCTCCTAGTTGTGACTTGATCGTGTTCACTCGTTCCATGAGCTTCTGGAACTGCGTTTCAGCATGTTCCTTCTTGGTCTCCGCGTCGTCCAACTTCTCCTGCAACGCCTCCATGTCCGCAGTGTGCTTGAATTGTATTTCCTCCAATGATTTTCGCATGTCGGCCACTTCTGCGCGTAAGGAGTCGCGGTCTCGGACAAGTGCATCGAATCGGTCCTTAGGCTCGGTGCCATCGGAGGCGGGGTCGGACTGTTCATTGGGGGGCGGAATAGCTTCACCGGCAGCAGTTGACTGATTATTATTGACAGACCGATCTGGCAGGCTGTCACCTATCGTGTCGGGTTCGACGCCATTGGATTCCTGTTCTTCATCTTCTATGGGGGCCTCGCTGGTATCATGGGGCTCGTTCTGGGAAGGGTCTCAGCAATAGGTACGCTGCCAATCAGGAGTTGTACGCCACATACATTCGTGTCATCATGATCGGGCGCGTCTGGGTGCTCGCTAGTTTGGGGGTCGGACTTGGCTTTGGCACTCTTCTTCTTGCTCTTCTTCGATTTGGCGCCTTTGAGCGGGGTCAGCGGAATCCAGTTCAATGACAGGAATGGACTTACTTGGAGCGACAGTCGGTGGAATGCCCTCAGTCATGCTGTGTGGTGTTGGGGAGATGGTGAGTTCCTAAGGTTCGCAAGCTGTCAACACGCTAGCGCGGCTGGCCCTTCCCGGCGATGATTAATCCCCTTGTTTTACTTCGTTGCCCAGACTGGATTTTCTCCAGTGTTTCTCCCAGGTTCATTCTCGATTCAATTGAATTGGAAGTCACCTTTAGTGAATTGATCACTGCACCTTTGCCCCGTGTCTACGATACTTACTTACTCCGGATGGTACGCAGCTTTCATCTATAGTATGACAAGGAGATTCGCCAATCATGCGCAGTTTGTGCATTGTTATCGAGAAGTCATATCTACACTGAGCTCCATTTGCCATATCCTTGGGCTCCAGAAAGAGACCATTTTGAGATTTGCACTTCGCAAGCGGGGTATAATTTTCACATTGAATGGTGGCAACGGTCATCTCTCGAGGGCATCACATGAAGTCGTCAAGGAAATCAGGGTCGCGATCCTGGTTGTTGCTAGCCTCCATGTTCTCCTCGCTGAACATATCGTCGTACGCATGATCCTTCTGCCACTTCAGCTGCTCATGCTCTCGCTGTTTCTGCTTCTCCTTCGCGCGTACTTCCTCTCGTGTTTTGCGGTCACTACGCTGCTTCTTCTTCGTATCCTCCTCCTTCTCGGCTCGAAGATCCGGAAACTTCTCAACCCGGGTCTTGTTAAGCCGGTTGACGATAACGTTCTCACGCTGTTTCACGTAGACCTTGCGGACCAGCTTGTGATTGTGGAATGTGACCTGGCCGGCAGCCATCGATCCGTCCTTCTTAAGATTTGACCAGGGAGTGTAGATAATAGTAATGTTGTCCTTCTTGTTGCCTGCCTCCAATGTCAGATTCCGTGGCCACGATGCTAGGGCTCATGTCGAGGGCTAACCTTCAATAGAGTTCGCTTTTGTGAGCTGGGCACAGTCCTCTAGAAGCGGCTCAGCGATGTTGTCCCACGTTTCGCCCTCGCGAAGGCGTACGTAGACGTGTGCACTTGACAAGTTATCGACGTGGAACTGTAAAGGTACGACGTGTTAGGGGTGGCAGCGCATGTGGGAGAAAGAGACTAACCCTATTGCGCAAGTGTATCAGTGACAAAGTTCTGCAAATAGGTAACAGCTATCATACCAAACGTCGTTGTCCAAACCAAATTGAATGAGATCCTCATCTGGCGACGTTAGAAAGTTTCCCCGGGGAGACTAGTCGGCGGCATACTCTCGAATTTGTCCTTGCCGACATAGATAAAGGCAGAGGGGGAGACCACGTTGGATGTGAAGTAGTAGACCATGGTGGCAATTTCCAGTCTCAGATGTCCCTGTAACAATTGGTAGTCAAAAGTTCGAATGTTGGTGGGGGAACGATTATCGGTCTATCTGTAGCTTAGTCATCTACATAGATCTGATTCATTTGGGAGTTGCATACGGAGAAGAGGGTGATTTGTGGTGTTTCAGTTCGATTTTAGTCTTTGGTAGGGTTGAAACTGCACTAAAAAAAGCAAAAGTTGACACAAGTAAATGAACACCCAGACAATACTCGCCGACAGGAGCTCTGAGATGTTCCACGCATGATCAAGTCCCGCACTTGCGACGCGTGAGAGATAGAGAAAGTGGCGCAGATTGGACGGATTGATCAATTCTGCTAGCGGCGATCTGAGTGTTAGTTTCTGCGTCTTCCAGTGAGCAAAAGGATCTCTTTTCCGTTCCATTGCGCCTGTCCCCATATTTCAATGGGTCTTGGCTTGCAGGATGCGAATCCTTCCTATCGGTTGTCTTCCATGAGTCTACCAGTCGTCTTTCCAGGCCTTTATGGGGGGCCAATGGCCGCAAATAGAACATGGGACCTCGTAATCGGGCGAGCCCGATAGTTCTTCATATTTAGATCGATGTTGCAATTGAAGCGAAACCCTGCTTTGTGTATTAGTTAAATATGCTCGATTGGAGGGACCAATTTGAAATGGTAAAAAGGCCATGAAGACGTCGAAAGAGAAAGAGGAAGTGAACCCGGGAGATCCCCGGAAGTTGGCCGATTTAGAGTTGCACCTTTGTGGACCTCAGGCATTTCTTCGCCTCCTCACGACTTGGGAGTTTCAGGCTTTGCTGATCACGATCCTCTCAACGATGGCCTAGCCTCGTTCGATAGCTCTTTGATCGGATCCTCGACACGAGGCATTCGGGATCCTCACGATCTGGTCGGCTAACATGAATTTTGACTCGAATTAGCTGGGGAATTGGCGATGTAACCAAAATCTCAGTCACCATGCACAATTGCGCCTGCATCTGCATCTGTTGAAATGCGTCGCCCCGAGAGTGGCCGATGATGTAAGAGAAGGGCAAAACAGCCGGCTGGAGTTCCATGAGGTTATGACGGAGCAACATGGGTCCCTGCAAATTTCGATCTTCCGGAGGAGCACCGCTCTTTTGTTTCGGACGAACAACCCCTTGTGGGATCAAGCAGTGAGGGTCGATAAAAAGGTTCACGGCCTCCGAGAAGAAAATTGCGTGTCTCGGAAGCGAGTCTATATCCAGGTCGGCTCCAAGCAGCTGTTTCAAGATGGCCCAGGTGAGGTCACCGGCCCGAGACCCTACACCAATGGGAATATTCCGAATGCATGACTCAGTGGGAATCCAACTTGACTAAGTGTTTATATCGGCACTGATTGGAATGTCTAGCTCCGGGAATTGAAGTCCCACGAGCCTCAAACTCCACCTAACTGATGCACCGGACATTTGCTGGGGAGCCACACTCCCCTCCGGGGGCCCAATTGGTGCTCTCGGCTGGTCTACGGCGTTAAGCGACCCTGGCCGTTGAACCTCATCGAATCATGCCGGTTCATCCCTTAAATTGTCCGAGAAAACCGTTACGCCAAGATACAAGGTACATTCCCTGCCACGGGCGAGCCCGCAAACTACACCCCACCTTCGGCCTTATGTGTTCCCTTTCTCTGCCAGGGTGGGAAGATATCCCTTCTGGTTCCTTATGCTTCCCACTGCCAATCTCCGACCCGGGAATCCCGACCTTGTTCCTGACCTGCCACAGAGGCATATCCGCCTTGGATGTCACACTCCATGAACATATGAACATAGGTTTCGGTCCACTGGCCCGGGTTTCCCCCTCCCCTCTCCCGTTGCTCCACCCCGGTTCCCCATTTATTTATTGAAAAGATTCAGTTTTTCCGGGCCTGCAGAGTTTCACTTCTGCCGCTCGGAAATCTTCTTTCCTTTTAGTCGAGCCCTTGCGGCGCGTCTTCCTCTCTCTCTCTTTCCTCTATCCCCCAATTCCCCATCCCAAAGGGAAGATCATCCCGATTCCTTGCGCCGACGCCCTCGAATCTGTTACGATATGTCCAATCCACCGCTGTCGAGAAGCTGGGTGGAAATTCGTCAGGCCCTAGAGCACGCTCGGGACTGCAGAGATGACCCTCCAACCAGAGCTCTACTGAACACCGTCATGGCCGAACTGTGGGCTCGGATGCAGGCCCAGCCAGATAGCTACCTTCTCAGCTCAGACGAGTTCGCCCTGTTCAATTTATACCGGGATGAATACACGGGCCCCGTCGCTCAAGCAGCTGTGGCTCGTTTCTGGAATAACTATCAAGGAAGCAATTCCAATGGTAGCAAGAAATAGCTGGGAATAACATTAGCTACACCGGTATATGATGTCGGAACTGGCCGAAAGGATGTTCTATGTCTTCTTTCCCTCTTCACGGAGTGGCCCTCTCGACCCTGCTCACCGTCACGAGAGATGGAGAGAGAGAGAGAGAGAGAGAGCGTGGTTCCTATGCGCCCGATGTGCTGCATCTGCAGCCTCCACCGCTCTTCTTTCTCTCTGAATCTACTGCATGGGCCACCATCCAGCCCAGGAATCGACCAAGCAGTACATAACCCCCGGGTATCATTTTATTTGCCCCTGTGAAACCCGCACGAGACCACCTCAGTCTTCTACAATTCAATTCTGGATGGCTGGAAAAGGATGAGCTGACATTTGCTATTGGATCATCGGGATCGACCAGTGATATCCTCAGCAAATTGAAGGCACCGTTTTCCTGGTCACGTTGTCATCTCGCAGGTTGTACAGGCCGGCGAGGTGGCGGGGGTATGCATGTATACCTCGCGCTCCCCTTGTCTTCCTGTGAGCGAGCATTTTTTGTACAGGGAATACGTCAAGGGGTGTTCGGATCCCTGTTTTGATTGGGACACAATACATGCGTCGGGCTTCTACACCTTACAAAAGAGGGGGCCCAATATATGGGTTCTTGCTTATCAAGGCCTGAAAATACGATCTAATTAACGATAATTAATTCTAGAGTCTGGAATAGGAGCAGTTGCATGATGTACGGGTATTGCGGATGCCCTTTCCTTTAAATTGACCGTTTAATTAACATATTATTAATTGGACAAAAGTACCATATTTGCCGGGTATGCGTGTGACAATGTTAGCAAATCTCCGAGGCCTAAAGTAGCCTCGGGGCCCTACTGCGAGTCATTGTTTAGTGCCGCGTCGGTACCACCCGCATGTAAATCTCCAACTCTCAGGGAAAACTCGGGATTTACTGTACATACCGGAAAAGACAAATGCACAAAGCCTATGTTCTTTCTCTCCAAATGAGGTTTATCTAAAAGAGGGCATTGCTTACCTTTGCTCCGAGGGGACAAGAATTGGGGTGATATCAGATTGCCGCACAGCCTTGGCCGTTTTAGACGCCGGTCAAGTCTCGGCTAGGGAACCTAGTGGCGCGCCAGCTACGTCTGAAGGCAGTGGAACTGTGTACCAGGAAAACCTAATTTATTCATATACTGAAGAGTTCGCCTGGTTTTGTATGTTCCTCGTACCTGCAACGCTAATGCTGTGTTCCGAAATCCGCCCTCTTCAAAATTCGCTTCCATGCCTGGGTTTCCTCAGTATAGCGAATTGTCGGCACAAGAGAAGCTGCCTCCCGCAACTCCTTCGCGTATGTTGTGAAAGATAGACCGAACGGACGAGTACAACCCGATAATGCACTGGTGGCGTAAGTTTATTTCATTCATCAGTCATAAGCAATCACTCACAATCAAGAATGCAAGAAACACGAGGAAGATGTTGAAGCAAAATAGAATAGTCTGTCTCCAGGTCAGAAACCAACAGCTGCGATTCAAATAGAGCCAAAAGAGCCCGGGTAAGCCGAATGAAAACCAACTAGCAAACAAGGAGCTCTGGTAGGAATCGTCAGTACTCGCTGCTCTTGCGTGAAGGTCGGGCAGTACACACCGCAAGCCCTAGTACATCGTTGAAGGCTGGGATTCCCTCGGCAATGATCCAGGACAAGATCCAAAGCACCGCACAGATCATGGCCCACACAGCTCGTGCCATGAATGATTGACTGTGTATCGAGCTGGTCCCTCGGAAAGCACGAACATATATGAACTTGACCGCGACATGGGCATTTACCACGCCCCCAATCACAATCTTGAGTCAAATGTCAGCTAAATTCGAACAGATTTCAGGAATGTGCATACTGTAGGAAGTGCAATGGTATAAGAAATTTTGCGAAACCATTCCCCTGCAGAATTGAGAGCGGGCGAGGCGACAGCAGGTCCAACGTGCACATATATCACAATGGCCGAGACCGTGTACAGGACCATTTCACTCAACTGAAGCAGCGCGAGAGCTTTGGGAAAGTCTTTGATCTCTTTGAGCTCCGAGAAAAGTGTGAAGAATGCAACATGACCGGCGTATGCAAAAATGACATTTGCAACAGCAAGGCATGCATCGTGTACTTTGGGCTTGGACGAAAAGCTTGGGGTATGAGTAGATCCTGTCTTGACAAGAGCGACGCCAATCATGCCTGTGACTACCGCTCCAATGATACTGACAAAGCTCACATAGGAGATGTGAGAAAGCTTCTCAAGTCGCCGTGGAAGGGTCAGCAAGAATGATACTAGTAAACCAACAACGGAAAAGATCACAGTACAGGCGGAATGTTCGGTAAGGACATTCATCATGATCGAAAAGGTGAGGACGTGGCTCCCCATGACCAGAATAAAAAAGACAAGCTGAGCAATGTCAAGTGTCGTGCGTCCGACTCTTCCAATCACGAGATCACCAGCATCAGCCATGCTGTGAATCTGCATATGACGGCGTTTGAATTGCCCAATGGTGTATGCAGTATATGTCGAGATGACTCCGGTAGCGAGGATGGTCAGGATGCCCCTATACAGGTTAGCTCAGTCTTCATCAACTGGGGAGAGGAACTGTACGGAACAAGACCCAGTGTGGCAAGTGCCTTTGGCAGCGAGAGAACCCCAAGCGATATGGTCTCCGCGATCATGACTGGCAGGGTCAGTCCAAGTCACGCAAGGCTCCAGGACTGACCAACTTACTCATGCCGGCTTGCCTATGAAACGAATGAGCTTCTCTCATTTTCAGCCATCAGAAAGACACTCACCACCAAGCCATGGTCTTGTACTTCACACCAGTCTGGCTCTCATCTCCAAAGGGATCCTTTTTCTCCGGCCCTGTCTTTGGCAAGATAGCTTCCTCGCTTTGCAAATTATCCAGCTTGTGCACGGATCCAGATGGATTAAGATCAGACTGATTGTGCAGCTCCATGATGAGATGAATGGGAGACAAGCTTCATGGGGAGAGAAATGGAAGTTGGAAGTTGGAAGCTGGAAGTTGAAACTACGGCAGTCGTAGCTTCCGTGTGAATTATATTCGATTCGGGCAACCGCGGGCCAAAATGGGAAAAAGGAGAACAACCAGAACGAAAAGGAACAAAAACAAAACGCTTCTATTTATACAAAGCCCGATCTATATATACCACACATTATCTATTTGGCTACGACAGCCGGGGGAGCGGGGGTTGTCGCGCGAGCATCACTCTCGATCATGTCCGCAGGGGGTTCTGGATATAGTTAGTACAGTGATCTATAATACGAATGTATGGGATGCGACTTACCAACTCGGGAGAAAGTAGCGCGCTCCTTGTCATCAACTTGCTTGACACGGCCGTCCTGGACATCGTGGCGCGAGAGACCCATGAAGCTCTTGGGCAGACCCATGGAGGACAGGTAGGTCAAGGAATCTTTCCACTCAAGATCCTTGCGCTCGGAGGACCACTTCAACTCTTCACCCATCAGGTCAATCACACCGGGAAGAGACTCAAGGGCAGCCTCGGCGTTCAGGAAGGCGAGACGAGTACGACGAGCGATCACATCGACGGCAGTCTGGGCGTACTCATGGCGGACAGCGTAGCGAACCTCTCCGTCAATGAAGGGGTACAAGGGGGAGATGCGGCGGCCGCGGACAGGGAAACGTTCAGTAGTGGGGGAGGACAGAGCAGCGACCTGCCATGAGCGGTCACCGTAAGACTCGGTAAGGTGCTTAGCCACGTCGGTCTCGAGACCGAAGTGCTGGATAAGGTTGATGAAGAGAGTCTTGGAGAAACCGTGAGCACCGATCAGGCGCACCTGGTGGGTCTGGCAGCTGCCGTCGAGAACGGCACCGTCAGCCACCAGGCCACTGCCACCAACACCAGAGATATCGGGGAGGGTAGTCAGTTGACGGGGCTTCAGCTTGAAAACATTGATAGCCTCGTCCACGGCTTCCTCGGCCATTTGGCGGTATGTGGTCCACTTGCCACCAGCGCAGGTCAGAAGTCCAGACTGGGATACAGTCACCAAGTGGTTGCGGACCAGGGACTCGGAGTTCTTGGCCTTGGGGTCGCGCACCAGGGGACGGATACCAGACCAGGCGGCAAGAACGTCGCTACGGTCCACAGTGATATCGGGGGCCAGGTAGCCGCGAATCTCCGAAAGAATCCAGTTGATGTCCTTCTCGGTGGGCTGGGGCTGGGTCTCAATTTCACAGGGCTGGTCGGTGGTACCGGCGATGGTGTTGCCCTGCCATGGCAGGAAGAAGATCACACGTCCATCAGAGGTCGAGGGGTCAATCAGACCCATGTTCGAGGGGCTGTAGTAACCAGGGAGAATGACGTGGACACCAGCACTGGGGGCGACAATCTCCTTGACGTCGGGTTCATCCATTTTACGAATGGAGTCTGAGAAAGGACCAGTGGCGTTGATGATACCCTTGGCGCGGATACTGAACTCCTCGGCCTTCTGGCCATCCTTCTCGGTGATCACATCCTTCATGCGCGCACCGCATAGCTTTCCGGAAGCATCCTTGGTGAGACCAGTAACCTCCATGTGGTTCACCACGGTGGTACCGTACAGCGCAGCGGTCATGGCGAGGGAGACGTTCATACGCGAGTCGTTGTGGGCACCATCGTAGTACACCATAGCACCGATAACATTGTCACGCTTGAGCATGGGGAAGGCATCAATGGCTTTACTCTTGGTCAAGAAGTACGAGGACTCAATACCCTCGGAACCAGCCAGGAAATCGTATGCCTTGGTACCAGCCCAGAAATAGGGAGCCTGCCACCATTTCTGAACGGGCACCATGATCGGGAGCCATGATGACAGATGCGGCGCAGTGTTCAGGAAATACTTGCGCTCTCTGAGCGCCTCCTTGACCAGCGCATATCTGTAACACAATGCGATCAGCACGGATACGACAAAAAGCCGATCAAAACCGACCGAGCTCGTTAAAAAAAATAACCGGAAAAACTCACTGGTTGTAATCCA